TTTTTGTTAAATAATAATAATAATAATAATTGCAAATTCTATTATCTTTTTCCCCCTCTCTCTCTTTTCATTCATAATTAACAAAAAGGCACACAATTTTTTCTTTAAGAAAGTTTAGTAGAATGTCTCTAAAGAATAGAAACAACGACGTGAGTTTTATCTAAAAATCGACTATTGTGTCTCTTGATCATTTTCTGTTGATTAATTCATTTCTCGTTCCGTTATCCTATTTAATTTTTGAACATGCATTTACATATATTATTTGATTGTTCATTATTAAATGGATTATCATTCATCATCATTGTACAACAATAAGAAGAGTGAAGATGCTACTCAGTTGCTACAATTAATGAATGAAAGAAAAATGGAGAAAGAAGAGCGAGGGAGAGGAGGGGGGAGAACGTTGGTATTTTCACTTTACTTCTCACCTACTTCGCATTCTCGACAATTGTTTATAGTCAAGTGCTATGTGTGTCTATCAGATGTAATGGCATGCGTATATAAGTTAGATTAGATTAACACAATCATATGTGTTTTCTAAAACTAATCAATGTTTGTATTGGTCTTTTGAAATTAACAAGAACCGACGCATTTCATGTAAAACTATGAGTGTCTTTAGAAATACCTTATTGTTGGAAAATATACTCTTGACGAGCTCAATGAGTCGGTAGAACGTTAATATGCATGTACGTTTAATTTGTTCTGGGATTGTAAACATTTTGTTTGTAGAAAAAACTTGATGAAAATAACGAGATCCTTCAAGTAATCTAACTCTACGTATACCTTTAAAATTTTCTTCCATAGAATCTCTCACTTCATCTACTTTAAATCATCTTTTCAATTATTTGAAACTCAAATCTAACGAGTTTTTATTCCTCTTCTATGAAAGTCTTCTAATTTATTCAGTTGTTCGTCATGTCTACTAGGTTTATTCAAACATCAGATGTGTTAGACAAACAAGTACAGAATTTCTTTTTTTCTTTCATTCTTTCTGATGTTTCAAAAAACATAATTTCATTATTAAAAAAATGAAATAAATTTTTTTCTGTTATTAACAATAATTTCAAGTTAAATATGTCGTTGTTTTTCTCTCTCTCCCTTTGTCTTCTCTTATACACACGCAGAAAAGTTAAATGATTCTGTATAGATTTTTTTTCTCTACCAGAAAGAAAGTCAAAGGTAAATGGAATCAACTCGACAATGAAAAATAAAATTTGTAATTGTTTATTTCAAGTTTCAAGATGACATGTTAATAAATAAAAGTTTCATTATTAATAACAATAATAATAATACTAGAGCATTAACCATTGACAGAAAACGTTGTTCACAATGAGAGATACACCATCGCTTATGAGTAGTGCTGAATCTAGTATTGATAATTCGCTCGAGAATAGAACAAAAAAATATGTCAAAGGACTAACACGATCAAAAACTGATATAAAAAGACGAGATTTATCAATTAATCCAAAAGCACATCGTTTTGATAAAGCTTATCATTATGTACCACCAGCGTCGAGCAGAGAATCATGGTGGAGATCAACAATAAAGGTGAGTTAATTAATAATTCAACATAAATTGATAGTTTTACACGAACATTATAGCACAGTGAAGAATTCGAATTGTAATCGAAAATAATAACTTTGGTAATTTTAAAAAATGTTTCTAACATTAGGAATCTCCAAATCCTGGCAGCTATGATACTCATTTGAATACGTTTATTAAAGACATTGTACAACGTCCAAACACCTATGGCTTCAAAAGTGATGGTAGAAAACGAGATCCTCGTCCACTGGATCCCAAAGGCCAATATTTGATGCCAGGAGCATATCGATTCGAAGATTTTTCAGAACAGTAATTATTTGTTGAAATGTCTTTTTTTAGTCAATCTGATTCAATTATTTGTATTCTTTATATAGGTTACGTCGTCTGAAATATTCAACGTATGGTTTTAAAGGTCCTGAAAGAAGAGATGTAATGAAAAAGTCAATGATAACAGTTCAAGATAAGGTATATGCGTTACTACATAGATTTAAATGATATTATGTTATCTATAATTGACTTTCATCTGCTTAGGATATCGATGTTGCTCCCGGATTGTATGAAACACAAAACTATTTGAGTTTAAATGCACCGATGGAAGCTGCAAAGTAAGAGTAAAACGTACAGTTGTTGTTTTTGGACACTCGTAATAAAAATGTGTAAACATGTTTTTAGACATAGTTTTTTCAAATCAAAAACGAGAAGAAAGCTCTTCTTACCTGTACGTAGTTCTTCATCCAATAATATTGTAACAATAAAGGCTAGTTATCTTGACTTTTACAGAAACTTGGACCAGCACCTGGTGATTATGAGCCAAAACTTGAAGAAACCAGTCCACCGATATCATCGTCATTTAAATCGAATACTGATCGATTCTTTCAGAAACCAACGGTACAAATGATCGTTTTTTTTTCGTTCATACTTACATTTTTGATTCTTTTCTTTTAGTTATCTCCTGGTCCGGGTGCTTATGAAACCTTAAGATTATTTCCAACGCCAAAGCAAATCGATAGTTTCTCAGCACGTGGCGTCTTTTTTAATGCTAATTTTCAACGACAAGCAGCAGCTGTTTGAAATATTTCTTTCTATTGAGAAACTAGTCTCTACGCAACATCATATGATTATTTTCTCAAGTCTTTCATCCTTTATTTAAAATTTAATTAGCAAAATACTATAAAGCAATACAGGAAATCAATTTAATCAGTTCTTGGTCATTGGATTGCATATTTAATACGCTATGATATCTCACAGCACGCACACTGATTGTTGTACACTATATTTAAGTGCAGCGAAGGTTTATTACTGTTTGTGTTTCTATAAATTATATAACTTTTCGTATATATATAAATGCACATTGTAATAATAATAATAATAATAAACACACTTTGACACAGAAGCGGTATGAGTTTATACGACACTTTTCTGATATATGTTATGTAAGTATCGATATAATTCATCTGAATAAGACAGTTGTTTAAATATGTCTTTTTTGCTACCATCATCAGGAAATACATGAAATAGAACTACAGTGTCCAATGATGAAAACCGGCTGGTAATGTGCATGCAGATATCAAACTAATTTCCCCCAATAATATATTGGATAACGTATCGGAGACCATGATCTACTATCAGAAGTTTAGCTTATGTTCCAAATTGAAAACAATGATTTGCATTTATTTTACATCTGTGAAATAAGTGACGTTGTCTGGATGATATTTTGAATAATAGATAACTAATAATGAACAGAATAAATAACATAAATAGTGTTAATCGAATTAAATACAACCATCTATTTTGTTACCGTATATGACCACTGTTGTACTAAATAGTGGTGACCAAAAGTTGGTAAACAGGACATTGGAACCAAATCCTAAAAATCCAGACTAGTAGCTTTTAGACCAATGAGCAGCATCGCATATTATTAATAAGACAAACCAATTTTCCCATGCTAAGATTTGAGATAACGCTTCCTGTTCCCTTATTAGGAATTCAGTCACATCCATTAATTGCATGCATAATGGAAAGAAAACATCGAAATTCACGCGATGATAATATTCGCACGAGGTTCTTAATGCTGACAAATTCAGTAGTCATTTAGATAGAATCAGACCGGGACTTGTATCTTTGCCCGGATTTTATGGCGTTAATTTAGAATAACGCCAGTTTCGCTAAAATAGAATCCAACATATTCAAAACGCAAATGAATATATAGTTCTAAAGTAAACCATTTCATATCTTTCAGTTGGATCGCTAATTTCGTTACTGCTGTTGATGATGATGTCGGACTTAGATAACTTGCAATGAAATGAAATGAATATGATGGATTAGATGTGAATATTCACAAGAATGATATATAAATATGCCTAAAAATGGCATCAATAGTCCTAACAGAAGTGTTTTTGATCGAGAGCGTGGTACGACTGTGGAATATATTTTATACATTTCTTCGTACGCACCATATGAACGCGAAGAAAAACATTTCGAAGTTTATTTGGAGTCGCGGAAAAGTGCTTTTTTGTATTCAGCACACTCGACAGCCCAGTAGATTTTCTATTTTTGGTGAGTGGTATTGCCAAAAAATTAGGAAAATTTTTCAAACAAAATGGCGAAAAAAATTTCCATTGGAAAAAAGTATTAGTTTGAAAATTTTTCTCAAAGCTTTGACAGTAACCCAAATAGAAAATATACTAAAAGCACATTTCCGTGGCTCTAAATCGACCATATGTTACACGTTAATTTTGTCTAATCGACACCATAAGAGTAGAGATAGGGTGCGAGAGTAATAGAGATCGGGTGCGTAGAGTATAGAGTGCGAGTAGTTTAAATTTTGTTCGGTCATCAATGCACGATAAAATCAGAGCAACTTCAGTATCATCTGCAAATCAAACAATAATCTTTCTGAACAGAAATGACTCTATACACGTTCATACCGCGCCGCTCAGTACCACTGGTGGAAACTTCATTTCTATACCAGTAAGCGTCAACTGAAAACGAGAATTTCAATTCTTTTCGCGTCAAAGATACCATATACAACCACGATTATACTCAAAACGTATCAGAACATGTTTTCTATTTCAACAGTAATTTTACTAAAAATAAAAGATGGCGCTGTCGGTTAACTATTACGAAACTGAGGTGTTACTAGTCATCTGTTGTATCAGCACTTCGCGTCCTAAATAAATTCATAAATTCGTTTTAAACTTTTAGGTGAACTTTTCGACGATTATATTTTCGTTTCGTCACTAAGATATAAAAAAATAATAAAAATATTATTTACATAAATATAAGCTATATAACGGCAACGTTATTCGCGTATAAACAAAATATGCAGAAATTAGAGACGAATTTAACTAGAACAAAATTAAGGAGAAGTCGGACAGTACCATGCAAAAACATCAATTGGTGATGAATCATCGTATAACAGCATGGGTGGTGAATGAAATACATCAAATGAATCGGTAAATTCTGATCGAACACTTTGAATTTCATAATCAGAATTTGTGTCACACGGACTTATTGTATCTAAATACGTTTGTTTATAATCAAAAATATCATCGACAGCTGTTGACAATGATTGATCATCGAACGAAACTGTACACATTGTATGATCAGATTTTCTGAAAAAATCATGCTGTAATGCTTTCTTTGCTGAACAACGATTTTTTGCATTAAATTCCAGTAAGGACTAAAATGAAGAGATGACACAATATTAGATGAAATTAAATTGTATTACAATCAATTACTTGTAAAAGATCGGATGCACATTTATCGGTAAATCTAATTAAACGTTCTAGTGTTGTCGATGTTTTATTACAGTTTGTAAATGACTCTCGGGTAATTTTGGCTTTATCGGGCCAATCGCTTTTATCTGGTAAACCAAATAAACTAGAAAAAATATTAATAATAGTATCAAATATACCAGTTAATTTGTCAGTAATACCATATTATTTTTTTCAATTGATCAATTTCCGTCTTTCCGGGAAATAATGCTTTGCCAAAGGCCATTTCAGCGAATATACATCCTACAAGTAGCAGATAAAAAACATCAAATATTAGAAAAATATATGATATAACTTTTCTCAGCTCTTCATACCCACGCTCCAAATATCCACAGCCATATTGTAAGAGGCTTGTAGCAGTACTTCAGGCGCACGATACCACATTGTAACAACCTATTCATAGACAAATAATCTATAAGCGATATACCTCCTTTATAGCTAAAACTTACGACTGATGTTAGCAACTTCGTGTAATTATATTCTCTTGCTAAACCAAAATCAGCTATTTTTAAAATACCATTGGACGTAATTAGAATATTTTGAGGTTTAATATCACGATGAAAGATAGAATTATTATGTAAAACAGAAACACCTGTTAATAATTGTTCGGTAAGACTCTGCAAGAATATGTTAAGAAATAGATCTTGTTATTTCCATCAAAAAAACTACATACCCGAATAATATTGATGTTTAATGGTCGATGAGATTTAAGATACCGATCAAGATCATATTCAATATATTCAAAAATAAATACAACTATCTGGTTATCGTCTTGTGATGAATCAATAATTATTTCTTTCAATCTACATAAAAATTTGTTTTCAAAAATATATTCTTTAATTAAATGTCAAATAATAGTTTATTACGTACTTGATGAGATTCTGATGAGCTGATTTATTCATCTTTGTTAAAAATGCTGCTTCTCTTAAAATTGCTGTTGGAATACCTTCACGTGTTTTTTTCATATGTACTTTTTTCATTGCTACATATTCATTTGTTTCACGATGACGAGCTTTATGAACACATCTTCAATGAACAAGGCAAACCAATCTTTATACTCCTCAGTAAAAACATATTTTCCACGATTCAAACTTACCCGAATGCACCTTCACCAAGAATTTCCAAAATAGCATATTTACTAGTTTTATCAGCAAACGTATTTTGCATTGTTTAATCAATCTGTTCTGGGGTAAAATGAAAGATCGTGATTTTGAACTTCTTTCAATATATTCAAATTCTGTATCAGACGTTTACGCAATCACGACCAACTTGTTCAGTACAATGTGGAAAAGAGAAAAAACAATTGAATATCATAGAAACAGAACGTTCTTATTCATATGCAGCCAATTTATACGCACGTATTGAACACAAATAAAGAAAAGGATATTCGCCGTGACCGTTGAAAATTTGAACAATTTATCATAGTTAGTGTTGACAGCGATGTTCAAAAATTTCATACAGAAAGAAAAAATGACTTCATTCTATCGCTGTACACTGAAACAACTTAGAAAAACATTAGATAGACTCATTTTTCTTTCCATGATTTAGAACGGACGATGGAAAAGAAGTCATGTTTAAAATGGATTTCGAAATGTTGAACTTCTTGGGAAAACTTGAGGTCAGTTTCACCTATAATTCATAAAAGTTTTTGATAAATAGAAGCACCAATAGATTGTGATCAAAATGCGAACAGTCATCAATATTCATCTAAGTGTCTCTTTACGTGAGCAACATGAAAAACATGTTGAGCAGGTTAAATTCTTGCATATTCACTGTCTTTAGAGATGCTAATAAAGCGTCTTATTCATCTGAAATATACATGTGAGTTGTTATGTACTTAGAATAACGTAGAAAAATCTCAAAATATTTTTATTTGTTTGTAAATTTAGCACCAGTAGTTAACTCAATAAACATAAATATTGTTCACTCTATTAGTAAATGTCAGGATGTCTTAGCATATGTAACTTATTCTTTTTTCTCATTCTTTTCTTGTCTACTCTGACTAACATTCAAGAAATTTTTATTTTTGCTATAGTTCAGATATACCATTCGAGACAATTCACATCTAGCAGAATTAAAAATTCTTCTATAGTATATATTAATTAAATATACTGTAATAAATAGATTAGATTAGATAAAGAAAACGAGCGGTTTTGATGCTTTTTTTCAAAAATTTGATGATTTTCTCTTCTCATTGTTTCTGTTCATTTCTAACTGACATCGTATGATTAGCAATAACTTAACTTTTTCCTTTGAAATTCGTACAAAAAATTTAGTTTGATGTAATAAACATTATCAGATGGTTTCCTAGAAGTTACCTGAACAGTTTAGTAAAGCTTTGACATATCTTGTACAAGAATACCACAGTAAACTCCGTTCATTTTCAGATGCTTCTAGCGCTTTTTTCAGAACAACAATAAAACGGGAAAAATCTTTAAAAAAGCCGTCAATATATCTTAGTAGTGTAAAACTTTGATATTACCCACTGTTATATTGAACATAGATTTTATCTTACCCTAAAACGTTTCAAAAAAATGTTTTTTCCATTTTTTTACTCCTTAAAATACGTTTTTCCGGTGCTTAAGGGAAAAACGTTTTAATTTTTACAACGTTTAATGTGAAACAAAATTCACGTTCAATATGGCAATGCAATTGACTATAAAAGGTTTTCACATGAGTATAGATCCAACCACAACAATTATGATTTCTTGTTACGTGAAACTAGTGGTATCTTGCAAATATTTTGTATCTTCATTCACATCGAATGGACCGACAAAGTAATTGATTAGAGATACTTCTCTCTACCTCATATCATATAAAGCTCATATGAGTAACGGGTGGTCCATAAACAATTGGTCATAATATTTTCCTTTCATGTCTGTTCTCTGTTATCTATCAGACTTAGTCTATTTTTCAAAAGATTTTACTAGAAATCCTCGAAAAAATTATATTCTTATTCCTTAAATAATGAAAAATAGGCTCTTCAAAACCTTGTACTATATAAATGGACAAACGGTGATTATTCTCGAAATATATTTCGCGATCTAAATAGTATGTTATTTTACTTGAGGCGGCTCCAGTGGCGTAACCAGGATTTTTAGTCCAATGGGCAAACTTCTACTGTATCAGAAAAAAACGATGGGCAAAATGGGCAAGGTTTTTGTCGATGGGCCAAAAGATTTTTGGTCCAAAAAGAACAGAAAAAAATGAAATGAGATTCTTTTAATTTCTGAATTAGATTCTAATTCAAAAATAAACAAACAATTCTGTCTATAGGTACTCTTACATTATACAAAAAAAACCGCATGGGTACATCTGCTAAGTAAAATTTCAATGGGCAAAAACTTACTAATAGAAATTACAATGGGCAAATCTCCAAATGAAATGGGCAATTGCCCATTTGCCACCCACCCTGGTACGCCGCTGGGCGGCTCGATGTTGATTGAAAATGATCGCTGAAATTGGCACTATTAATCTACACTATGCATCCATACGCTAAACAGTCGTATCACACTGGATCGAAACATTTCTTGTTCAGAAATACTTCATATGCATATCGTTCGATGCTGTTTTTCATGCTGATTCCAAATATGTTGTTCGTTTTTAATAAAAGTGCTTCTCATCTGAGAAAATTGGATTTCACTTAAAAAACAAACGGTTTTTTGGAAAATCCATAACTTAGTCCGGAGCCATTTAGGCTCATATCATACATGTGCAATACATAAAAGAATATTTTGACAAAGTTTGATGAAATTTGGACCTGTGCTAAAGTGTGCGCACTGACTATCCTGAGCATTCATCTTCGGAACACTATAAAGCATAGAAAGAAAACTTTTTTTTCTAAAACCAAAAGCACTAGAGCAAATTATTTTTAACGATTCGATAGAGCGAAATGTCTAGTTCAGAATATGTATCGCAACGTGTTGTTTAGTTCAACAGGAAAATTTTTATTTCTTACTAGGCCCAGTTTTCAGCTAATTTTTCAATCTAAGTTTCTCTAGCTAATCATGAGAGCTGGAATTTAAAATTTTATGCGGTTAGATAGCCCACATTTCCGAATATATTAAGTGGTCGTCAAATCTTGAAAAAGCGCACTTTCAAAATTCCACTTAATGTCCACGTGGTTGCCCACTGTGTAACGTCGTGTATCGTTGGTGAAAGTTGAGAAAGATTTATACTAAAAAAAGATATCAAGGAGAAAATTAATTCAAGAATTGGCAATCAAGAGTAAGCGTTCAACTAATACTGGGAAATAATATGGAATGTTGGATCTACAAATTTATGAAAGAACTATTTTTTATTGTCTTCGTGTTAAGGTTACTCGTATAATCTTCAGTTTTGTTTTACTGGAAAAGTAAAAATGCATTCTTAACCATACATATCACATAAGAAAAAAAATGACTAAAATTAAAATTAAAAATAAATTCGTATTCAAAAAATTAAATCACGACTTATTATCAGAAGAAAAACTTGTGGAACGCATCGTTCAAAAACTAATAAGAAAAAACAATCACCAAACAACATATAAACAGCATTCTTTTATTAAAAGTACTGTTCAAAATCTTTTTTTATTAGTGTTGCATTGTAAGATGAAATATTCCATTGTTGTGTTTTTATTTTTATGTCACATGGTTCCATAAATAAACTTTTAGTTGTGATATCACAATCCAAACATAACTTTGTCAAAACATGAACTATCTGATAAGTATTCTAAAAGATAGAAAAAAATCAAAATAGAATCAATTTGGTACTATATAAATGCAAATCTTACGATATTATACATAAAATGTTGATTTCCTTTAAAACCTAAAAGTATATAAACAATAACAAATAAATTTGAAAGCATTTGTGTATCAGAATAATTACCATGGCATGAAAATAAGACAACTGGAGCACGTTTACCATTTTTTGGTACATCAAAACACATTTCTCGATTCTTTGGACGGATATCTTGTCTCCATGAAATTTCAAATTCCTAAAAAATTTGCTAAAAGATAAAAAAATTAAAAAAAAACAATACTTCCACCGCAAAACAAAATGGTCATCTGACGAATACTAGTCATAAACATACAAATTATAAATTTAACCCAAAACAGTAACATACTTGTTCTCCACCAATTCCCTTATGATCGGACAAGCATTGATCAAGACCAAATGAGGCATGTTCACTGCCATGTTTCGTATCTGTAAAGTTATACTTTATATAAATATCGAAGTTTTACTAATTAACAGATCTACTCATTTACATACCTACGCATAATGGGGCAGTCATACTACGAATCTATACAATAAGATTATAGTAGAAGATTTAGATATTAATACTATTCTTTGTAAGTGCTCACTTCTCCGGAAGCATACGGCGGTAACGGGATAGGAGGATAATATTTCGGTAGATCGAACGCGACATTTTCCATAAACCTTCAAAAACATAGAGATATCTGCTACAAAATTTTAGAATGGCAGGTTGTTATGATTTACCATTTAAAAGATTTACAATTGAGTTTTTTACGAATTTCCAGTTGTTTTGTTAAATTTCCAGCATCTGTTTTTCTAAGTAAACAAAGATTCATCACTCTTCTTTTGACTACAATAAGGTTAAAGTGCCGTTAGTGAAATGGAGCTAAGTTTTAACCTGCTGAGATGGCCATAAGTGTTTAAATTATAACAGTTTGCACAGTTAACTTATTTTTATACCTATAATGTGGTGAACGTTTGTAAATAAATTCTTTATATTCGTCCATCCATACCTATAATAAAACGGTACTTCTTTATAACTTGTTTAATCGAATGACAGTATCGATATGTACATACTTCGGCCACTCTTTTATGGTTCTAAAACAGACATATGGAGGCAATATTATGCTATAAAATATCTCATTGAAATATACACCTACTCTGGTCATGTAGTCACCAAATGAAAAACCACCGAATGGATTAAACTTTCGATAAATATCTAATTAAGACAAAATGTTATTTATTGTATTTGGCTAAAAAGCAGAAATACTTACGGCCAACACGAGAACAAGGCGTATCTTTTAATTGTCCTCCACACTGCCAAATCTGTTGTTAATTAAGAAATAATGTCTTTTATAAACAAAAGTAATAAACTCTGTCATACCTTGAAACTTGATTCATACTGTTCTCCACCCCACACATCTGAAGATACACGTTGAAAATGTAACAAAAAATTTGTAACTCTTTACTCACCATTCACCTAATCCTTCATCATAGCCTGAAAGAAAGAAAAACGTATTTTCTCGTTGTCTTCTACTAGCAGTTTAGATACACACCTCCAATTTCCCAAAACCATTTTTTACTAATTGCAAACAATCCCCCAGCCATAACAGGAGAGCTACGAATACAGAGATAAAAAAGATATTGGTATTATACCAGTTTATTCACGTACTCGAATGGCTCCGAAGGCTGGTTAAGTGTTTCAGGCAATAAAGGAAGTCGTTTATAAAACATTTGCCTAAACATAAACATTCTCAAACAGATGTACGCAAATATTTCACATACAAATCTTACTACCAGTCAAAAGCTCCTCGTGCTCCCTCATCCTGAGCTAGAAAAAAAGAGATTACAATTAACTGATGCTTGTTAAAAGAAACTTTACGTACCAATATAGGCAAAATTATCCCATTTAATAATGTCAATGAACGGACATACTGCTATTCTATAATCAAAAGAGATCGGTTCTAAAAAGAGACTAAAGATTTATATCAATATTGCTGCTTTTTCTTCATGTTTTCATTACCTATTAATGGTGGAAGCCAATTATAATTAACTTCAATATGAGAGTCAAAAAAAATTAATATCTCGGCTGTTGCCTCTCTAGCACCGGCCATTCTCGTTCGAATCAATCCTTCTCTTTTTTTTAAACGTATAATACGTGTTTTTTTTAACTTTGCTACGTAGTCGTCAAGCTTCTCCTTTAAAAAATCTACAAATAATGAATAAAAAATTCATTTTGATTCTACAATCGGATTATTTTATTAAAATCACCTTTTGTGCTTGCGTCATCAACAAGTATAATTTCTTTTAAAAGTATTGCTGGTGTACGATTTAATATGCTGTGTATGGATCTTATAAGTGATGACCAATGTTCATCATGAAACGGAATAATAATACTAACGATTGGAAGATTTTCGGCATACAGTTTCTTCTTACAACTAATTGAACAAAACATGTGCATATGTTAGACCACTTACGCTATAAACTAAATAAATGATTTTACCCACTCTGGATGACGAATATCTTTAACAGATCGATGGATAGAAATGTTGTCAGAAACATAAGCGTTAAAACCGTTCTCCCGATATAATTTAGAAAATTCATGACTACTTCGCTCTTGCATTGATGGTTCGACTGGTTGTCCCTGTTCTCCAAGACCTAAAACAGAAAATTTTTTGTATTCATTTATGAAACAAAAAGAGATTAAAACAAAACAATAAACAGCTACACAATAGACATTCTCATAGGTGTTTACCTGTTCGTGCATTGTCTTCTGCTATTTGATTATAATCATGCCAGTCAATTTTCCTAACTGATTTACCATCAATCATAACGAATTCCTCACGCACTAATAAAGAGGACGTCGAAGAAACCGTTATTATCTTTTGAGGATGATTATATCTCTTACTTTTACTATGTTTAATTGTCGTTGATTGATTCTTCGAAGGATCATTTGTATTGCTTAATAGATTTGTTAAAAATATGCTAATCACAAATATAACCGCTACAGTTATTATTAAAATACGTTTACGATGTAAGTGAATATTCATTCAATTGTGCCTGATGTTCTATCTGAATTACTCTTTTCTAACAAGTACAAAGTCAAGTTCAATAAATTTATATTTTCATCTGTTTATCTACAATCGAGAATTTTAACAAACGTTACAAATATTCTGCGGAAAAGACAGCTGAAAAATTTTGTTTGGTATGAATTTATAATTATCACAAACAAATGCTTTTTCAATAATAAAAATTAACAAGTTGAAAAGAACATAATGAAAAAACTACATATCAAAATTCAGAAATTGTTTTATTTTTTTCCTTCAACCATAATAATATGATAACCATGTTTTGTTTTGACAAGTTGTGTATAAACAGGTTTAGCCAACGAAGAAACAGGCAATGCAAATGCAGCATCCTGAAATTCTCCCACCATACTGCCTCTATTCATCCAACCCAAATCGCCCTTAAAAAAACGAATAAGAAAAAAGGATCAACAAAGTTTGAAAGTCATTACGTCAAGGAATACTCACCCCATGTCGAGCCTTATCTTCAGAATATGTTCGAGCCACTTCATCAAATTTCATCCCCGAATTTAACTTTTCTAATGCTTCAAGTGCCTTTGATTGTTTTTCACATAAGATATGTCGAACCTACAACAGTAAATAAAATTCCGGTATCGATGAAACTTTTTTATTGACATTACTTTTATCAAAATCTCTTTCGGTAATGTTTTATTCACCTATATTTTACAGTATCTCTAATGAACTTTTTCTCAATGAAATTAAAATGTTAAAGTTTTACATTTAGGTTACTATGGATAATGAAAGATTGTTTCTGTGTCTGACAGACTATATCTACACTATGTGTACGCTTATGCCTTATTATGTGAAATTCAATGCTTTTCGTGTACATTCAATATTTAATCATAGACAATTGATCTAACAATTCCATTTTCGAAATTAAATGGGATTTATTTAAACAAACCAAATAACTGTACCAGCGTTTCTAACGTTTGTGAGACAAGCGAGAGTAAAATGAAATTCCACGGTGAAAAACGAACTTTCCATCTATTGCCCACTGTGATAAACAAAAATCCCGCTTTGGTTTTAAGAATTCCTACTTTTATTTTTCGTTTTTTCGATATAGAGTGGCTCGTAAAATTATTTGTCCATCTTTATGTTTAATTTTTCTCTTCAACTATATCTAGAACATGTTCTTGTGATACTTGTAAAGAGATGCGCGGAGAAGAAGAAGATTAAGAACAGTTGTCAATTCCCGATGATTATACATAAATTTATATGATGAACAATCAGCAAAATAAACACTGTTTTTTACGCTTTTTTATTTTTTGTGTGTCATAGCGAATGTATAAAACAATGTAAATAACAGACATTTTCTTTGCCATATACAGAATCGTGATTCTGCCAGTTTTTTATTCGAGTACTCTTTGTATTATTTTTTCTTATTGAGCAGATGTGCAGATATTATCTTCTTTCATAAAAGTCAAACTATCAATCTTCTCCTATTCACTTTTCCCACTTTGTATTTTAGAGCAAAGTGAACAAAAAATTTCATTAGAAACGCTGAACTGTATGTAATGAAAAGCAAAAGGAGTAGTTTCTGGTTTTGTTGGACAAACAACTATTGAAGTGAATACCTACTTTAACTGATGTACCTGAGCTTTTTCCTGAGCTCTCTCCTGCATCGGCAGAAGCTTGTGCCTTTCCCTTTTTGGAAGACATTTGATAACTTTCTTCTGGTTAAGGTTATAAATTGGCTAGCTTAAATAAAGAATAAATCTCCACAATGCAAGTCAAAAGACTTGTGCATCCATAAAACATGGAAAACTGGCTGTCAGATACTTTATGGATGAGCCAATCATAGGAGAAAAGAAGTAAACGACAATTTTATTGTAAAAATTTCGAATTTTCATCTGTAAACTTAGAAAAAGAAAAGCCCCTGATTATTATAAGAGCCCCTTACAAGAGAACGTCACACGTCATGCCAGAAACATTTATTAACCAGGACTAAATGAGAAAAGGTGAATACAAGAGAGGGCGTCGGGATATGGTGTGGTATATACTAAAAGTGAAAAGTTCTCTAAAATACGTGAAAAGTGTGAGAGCAGAATGATCACGAAAGAAACTACACCGAAAGAGATACTTAACCATCACGCATCTATACGCAATAGTCATTTCTGGCAGGCTGAGGGTTTCCGGAAAATTTTCATTTTTTTTCACCGATTTCTGAGTTGCTCCGTGTAGTGTGAACCAGCGAGTGCAAGTTGTGGTGTATCTTCAGGCAAGGATCAGTAGGATATTTGGGAATCTTTCGGAGATCTTCGAAAAACTTTCACACTTCTGGATCTAGTGAAGCTTCGGGATACTCGGATTTGATCGAAAGTAACCTGTAAATGCGTACTTAATGCCCAACATATCAATTGAATCGAGAAATTTTAAAAGCGTGTTCGACGAAAACTGATTGCAGATTCCGACTCTCCATGCTCGATTACCTTGTACGCAACCAGTGTTGAATCGGGATACTCTAGAAAAAATTTTCTCGATTGTTTTGCAAAAGAATTTTTATGAAGTTCCTGGAGAGGACCAAGGGCTAAATGAGACTGAGAAATTTTTCTAGAGTACCCCGATTCTAAATTTGTTACGGACAAGGTGACCGACTATGGACAGTCCAAATCTACAATCAGTTTTGGCCGAACATGCTTTTAAAATTTCGCGACTGAATTGATATGAAGTATTCTTCTAATGTGTTGAGTCAAGGGCATTGATTTTGTGTTTCGAGTGTCGAACGAATCGAGGCGCCAGCTTGCTTCGTACTTATGAAAAAAAATGTTGAGTAACAGATTGGTGCATTATCTAGTGGATTTAAGAAAGCAAGTTCGATATATATTGAAATATATTTTTCTTAGCAGCGTCTGACAAGTGATATAAAACTTAGAGAGTAGTTGCTTTAAAAAAGTTTGGCCTTTCTGTCCAAAGTCATCTCTGAAAAATCTAACTTATAAAAAGTGAAACAAATACGCAGTAGTGAAAACTGCTGCAAGTATATAAGTACATGAGAATGATATTGATTTGTTCGATGACCAGGAATATCATAGAGAGAAGCCTTCATATTGTTAAACAAGTATGAATAACAGATGAGTTTCATCTTTGTTCTGTATTCTCAGCATCGAATGGATAATTGGCAGGGTCTATTTTAACACCAAATTGCTGTTTGGGAAACCTATTAGAAGTCTATTCTGGCTGATTAGGATACATGCCTGATAAAAAAATCTATAATACTCTTTTATAGTCCATGTGAAGAACATATACTTTATTAGATAGTTATCCAAATACTAATTAGTAGACATAAGTTCATATTCATATTGGTGCTCTACGAATAAATACCTATATTATTATGTTTATATACACATACAGTCAAAAAACTTGTGTATGCGTGTATATGAGCGATTTGCAATTTCATTGTATGGTTTGTTAAAAAAAGAAGAAAAACAAGTTTTTCGTTTAAGAAAAATCTTACCTGTACATTTTGAAGGGCCATCTCGAAGGTCTCTAGGGAAAATTTTCCCCAACTATCACCGCTAAGGTGGCCAAGATATTCAAGATTTATCTGATTTTTCAATTTTTTCGCTTTTTTTTGCAACGCGTTTCTAGACCTAGCGATAAATTTTCATACGTCATCACTTGACTAGCGCGATAGAGTATCTAACGAGGAATCGAAATGATATATAATAAGTCTTATCTCCCTCTGATTTGATGTCAACATTTACGAAAACGGTAGCACGAAAAAATGGGATTCTGAAGACTGCATGGGCAATATCTTAGGATCCTGTTGCCAGAAGACGATGAAAATTTCTGTGGTAGTGAGCGTGAGTTAGAGGACCAAAATAAAATAAAAAACTTACGAAATCAGTCAACTAGAACAGGAGTTATTGTCCATTTTCATATCGGATTCACGGCGTAAAATGAAATTGCAAATCATTTATATGCATAAATATTGAGTCCACTTAAGCAAATAAACTACTGATCTGTCTTTGAAAAATGATCAAAAATGTGCACAACAGCAGAAAGGCTATATTTTGCTATTGTATATACAAAGGACGTACTATTTTATTCTTTTTTTATACATTGTTTTAAAAGAAAGAAAATCAAGGTACAATATAAGATAAAATTAATAAAGATTTAAGTACACATTGTATATTTATACATATTATGGGAGATTATAGGCATATAAACAAATGAGATCTATGCATTATGCGAAAAAAAGGATATTTGTGCGGTAAAAGTTAAAAAGTCATCATAATATACGATGAACTGGCTAAACTAACAAGAATGTAGCAAAGTATTTTAGAGTTAGAATGTCTTTTATTAATCTAGTATAGAAAGAAAAGTGAACGATTAGTAGGTTACATTGTTATTCGTGTCAATGTTCGTTATATATTGCTAAGCATCAGAATTCTTTTCACAAATGGATTATACCATCATATGCAATTGAGAACATTCGTATCTCGTATCTATGAGCCTAAATATTGAAATTTATTATTAAAGTCTTTTTTTTGATAGTTTTAGAGAATCCGTTCAATTAAAGCACGAAATAGTGCACATGTTGTCATGTCTTGTATCATATTTTAAATAAAAAAATGTCTGACAGACAGAGAATATTCATTTAATAATTTATTCAAATCTAAAAATGAAACGATGACGATAGGAAACACCACATTGATTCGCAACTTGATTCGTTTTTTCCTTCTGCTGCAGCACTTGTTGGTCTTTATCTATACAGTTATATTATGTAAGAGGTTTTTTTTACATAAAAACAAAGAAAATTATTTATGCAGGTTTACTTGCGCCGTTTGTATGTAAACATTCATCGAAGGAGAAGAAGAGTTTTATTATTCAAATCATATAATCATAAATGGTGGTACAGTATAACATGTTGACATTGTTTCAAATGGACATTGTCATTTTCAATAGAGAAATATTTTCTAGCTAAACACTTAGAATATGTACAAAATGTGAAGAAAAAAAAAAAGAAGAAAAAGAGTTTCTTTTCTTATTCTTCTGTCCTACAATATACTTTCAATGTTACAGACAACATAAACGACGAGAGAAAAGGTAAAATAACATTTAATAGAAGTTAGATGATATTAATAATATCATAATGATCATGATAACAGATGTAGTCAATAGAACTGTTACTTTTTGGTTTCTCTATCATCAACTTTCCTTTATTTGTTCATCGTAGTCAATTATAGTACTGTACAAAATGATTAGAACGATAGTAATCTCAAATTTGCTCTAATGATTTTTGTTTTTTTGTTCACATTGATCTGAGTGTAATGAGAGCTGTAAGATATATTCATTCTTTTCCAACATATCCTTGAGAATATTTTAAAGCATTTTTCTCTAATAAATTCAGAACAGTCTCATTTCTGTCTACACAAAAGAACAGAAACGGTAAATTTATAGTTTACAAGTTTTACATTTGAAATAAGAAAAAGGTAGTGCACCACTAAAAAGATTTATGCTCTAAGATATATTTTGAAAAAAATGACACCCTTTTTCAATTAAATTTAAAATTCAAATATTGATTTTAGAAAGAAAAAAAATACTGTCAACAACACGTTGATGAAAAATATTATAGTTTTCCTCACTCTCAGATCGGTACGATCATAAAAATTCTTTTAAACAAATGTCAGATTATTATCATCCCAATTTATCTAACAGTATAAATCTCTACTATTGATTATTGTTAATGTTAAAATAAATGACTATGTTAGTTAAATAATATAAATCTCTAACCATTTGTTGTTTTGTGTGTCTGTCTACCCATAGGCTATACGATAAACAACAGAATTTCTTTGTTTTTTTTATCTCAACTTTTTTTTTCCAAACAGAAATTTATTGTTAAAAAGAAAATAGATTATACACATTTATCGACAGATGTTGATTATCGAAACTCTAATCTATAGTTTTTGTAATATATTTTATTTATTTATTCTTTTTCTCTATTTTGAAAAACTAGTTGACGTTTATTTATGATAGATAAAATGAGAAATTATTTGACATCTCTGTGAAAAAATTCTTCTGTAAGTATTGTTAATTTAAATTTTTTCTATAAATTTGACGAATACTACAATAGATATTATTTTGTTTTATTTATCTAACTAAAACTATTCGTTTTACTAGTAGCTATTTGAACTTAGTTTATAATAGAGGAAATACTTATCAAATAAATATATATTCTCAGAAAATGTAAGAGAAAAATTTTTGAAAAAAAAAAAAAGAAGAATTTTACATAATATAACTAGAGTTAGAGATTGTTAAACATAATTATGAATAATATTTATCTTATTATTTTTCTGATCGAATTGGAAAGCGAAGGATAATTATTTGTATATGTATATCTATCTATCTATCTATCTCTCTTAGCAGGTGATATTGACTTGACACAGATGAGTTTATTTATTTACTTTGACATAAAAAACTTTATTACACACATTTACATGTAATAATCTACTTCCTATTCTATCAACTTCAATTTGTAACACTGTCTCGGTCAACCGTGAAGTTTTTTTTTTCCTTTTAACCATTCATATCTATTAATAATTTGTTGTATAATATCAATAGAGAGTTTTTATTCCGTGAGCAATCATAAATTGTAAGTATCAACAATAATTAATCTCTGTTCATTTTAGCATATTTGTAAAGGTGTCATTTATTTTCTACTTTGAGATAAAGAGTGTAAGATTGAACAACAGGTTTTAATAATATGAATCGATTTTATTTCATCGATTAAACATAAATAAATGACCTTGTATATGTATTTTATTAAATTAACATTTCAACTCCTATTATTATACACACACACACACACACACACATACATTTTAAACAATAGAATTTATCATTGAACATGCGAACTTCATTTTTAGATCTATCTTCTCTTATTATCATCAAAAAACGTTTGAATAAATTTTTTTGAACATTTTATACGGATGACACTCTTATATGAGAAAATGTTTCGTTTTTGCCAAAGGTTATAAAATCGTATATCAATAGATCGAAAGAAAAATAGAGAGAAAGAGAAAGAGAGAGAGATCAAAACAAAGAGTAGAGTACAGTATATATTTTCAACAAAAAAAAAAAAAAAAAAAAATAATAATACAGTATTTGTAACTAATAATAATAATAATAATAATAATACAACAACACTAAATATATGAATGTGCTTGAATAGAGTCTAGTTACAACTAGAACACAAGTAAGAATAACTATTATTTCAAAAGAAAAAAAAATTGGATGCCATACAAACCTGAATTGAATATATTCTAGTCACAAGTATGTACAATTCACACGTTTAAGAATAATAATAATAATAATAAACACAATAAATTTAACGAGTTTTCTGATAATAATAGAAAAAACGAAAATGAAAATAGTAAAATTGATAGAACATCCCTTATTTTTACAATAATCGATCAGATATTACGTTGTACTACTAAAATCAGACGAATATCAGCTAGTAGGTGCATGCATTTAACCTTGAATCACGTTTTCTCTTTCGTGTTATTGATTGTATCTCTTTTTGATGATTCTACAATTCATTGTAAGATTTTTCGTCTCACGTACAATTAGTCGTCTATCTTGGAATAGACACTTCATCTTTTGATCACTATAGATTATTTATTAAGAACATTCAGCCAAAAAAGACGAAAGAACCTTGTTCTTATTCCCTCCAAATGCAATAGAGTTAAACAACAAAAAATAGAGTTATACACATAACAAAGTTATCCGTTCTCACTGCTTAGCTAGCACAAAATTATCATGTAGCTGATTTTGAATTCATATCAATTTGTTCCAAATAATCAATAATATGGATTTCTGTTGAATGTGCTGAATAAAATAATCTACTAACACAAAAAAGATGAACTGTCCATTCAAAGGTAGCAGACTAACTGTACTTGAAACGTCAAATTCACACTTTTTATCTGTCTATTAACACGATTATTTTCTATTAGTCGAATTTGATATCTGATGAGAAATATCCATGGGTAATTGTATTGGAAAAAAATCGTTAAAAAGTAAAGATCGTTATAATAATCTATCAAAACCATCATCATCATCATCACCACGGTTTAATCGAACAAATGAATTGTATAAAACAAATCCAAATAATTTAGTAATACGAAAGAAACAACTAACAGTGAATTATGATGAATATCCTGTTAAAAAGAAATGGAATAGTACCGAACGAAATCGAAGATATGTACTATCAACACCATTGCCAGATGAAGATCATCCGTATTATACAACAGATTTTGTTAATTATTCAAATATAAAAGTGAAAAATATTTTAACTAACGATGATTTGATACATAAAACATCATCAAATAAACAATCATTATCACCACTATTTAATCTAAATGATATGATTAAATATCAAAATATTGAAAAAATTCGACATACACCATCACCACCTATTTCATGTTCAAAAAAATTTAAAAAAATCGGTTTAACAACGTCATTTAGTGATAGCTATTATGCATTTAAACCAACAATAAATGTACCATTAGTAACATTGACTAAACATGTTGTTGATGAACACTTAACGTCATCATTATTCAATAATAACTCTCATCATTCATCGAACAATACAACTCAAAACAATAACGATATTTTACCTTCATCATTCTATTTGATCGAATCAACCACCTCTACGTTTCCTAAAGAAATAAAGAGTCTAAATGATAGTCATGTATTCGATTTATCGTCTGAAATCAATATGGGTCAATTAATCAATACATTTAGTAGTAATAGCGATGTCAGTAATGAAATAGGACATTCAAATACAACTGATGATATAGTGGTCGACGTAACAATAGTCAAACAAAAAGAAGAAGAAAATGAAATATTAAATAATATTAAACAAAGAGAAAAAGAAATAGTTATTGAGAATAATAAAAATTATGTCCAAGATGAGAACAAATATGATAATACAGTCAGTATTCTAAATGATAATCAGATAACATTGAACGAACCTACTATAACAGCATTAATTAACAATGATGAGACAGATAATTTGATTAGTGACGACTATAATAATTTGTTTATTCATCAAAACGTTCAAGAAATTGATCCTGATAATGATGATGATAAAATGGGAAATGAACAACAAAAATCAGTAATTTTGGCAACAAAAGGTGAGATTTTAGATTCCATAAATTGATTTTGTATATCTTTTTTTTCATTCTTATTTAGAGGAACCTTTTTATAAAGAAATAGACAATAAAAACATTACAAAGCCTTTTTTAAATGAAATTTATAGTCATCAAGTATCGTCCGAACATCCATTATCTCCTTCTACGTCCCATTCATCTCTTTCATCACAATTATCTTTTTCATCTACAGAATTAGTTGTTTCATCTCGATCAACATCTACAACATGTTCGATATCACCTAAAAATCATCAAAATTATACAAAAAATCATTGTCCAACAAATTTATCATCACTCATAAATTGTCAACAAATCTCTGTATTAGGTAATAACCAATTTTTATCATCTCACATCTATTTACCGGTTATTATACCATCACAACAATATCAACAACGTGGAGAACATACCAATATATTAAATGATTTTCATCAATATATTGATACTGATGAATGTTTTACATTACATTCAATTGTTGACGATATCATACAACAACAGACACAAAATAATTCAAGACAATTTATAAGAATTCATAGACGAAAGAAAACTGTTTTATTGGGACACAAAAAATTAAACGCTATTCATATTAGGTATGTAGATCTTTATTTATAAAATCTATTTTAACTTTAACTTTTCATTAGATCATCGATTTTACACTTTTATGACTCAAATTTATTCTAAATTGGATATATTTAACCCTTTGTTTACTAGCGTCCCAAATTCAGCACGTTTTTTTTAACTTTCTTGATTTCTGAATAACTCGCGACCACAAAAAGATATCGAGATGCGACGATAATGCAGTTTTGTCTGCTGATCTCTAGTATGTTATTCATTTTGTTTGTAAGTATATGAGAAGTAAAAAAGACGGAAAATAAATGAAATAAGTGGGAGTTAGGTTGTCTTCCTGACAATATTTTACCTATGGATATTTTCTCCCTAATTTTTCATTACTATATTTTTACACAATTATGACGAACATTAACCACAGAAGATATGGTAGAATGGACGATCCTTGATTCCTCACCCTTACCTCCCTATGTATGTTTCAATAGCGGGTGCTCATTTTCAATGAATATCTCGAATCATACAATAGTTAACTCTCATACTTGGTGTGAATAATCTAAAGATGTTTTAGAGTATCTGGTACAATTTTGAAGCGAAAACAATATTCCTAGGCTGAGTTATGAATTTTATTTTGGAAGAGGGTCTCAAACTTCAAACGTGACCCTCGATCGTAAAATAGCTGTATTTCAGTAACCATTAAGAGCTAACACTTCAGATTCATACCATAGATAGAGGAGAGGCAGTGCTGCATTTTGATAAAAAGAAAAAGTATTCAGCTCTCTTGGATCAGGAGTTATTAGCATTTTATGGAAAAGAAATAAAACGCTTATATCTCACGAACCACCTAGTAAAAAAGAGGCCGAAATTTGGTAGGTGATCAGCATTTGGTAAGAGCTATGTTCACACAAAATTAGAAGTCCCTCGCTATCATGATCAAGCAGTGGTACTCAAAAGGGTTAAACTGATAATCTGACTCATAAAATATTGCTAAAAAATAGAATAAAAATGAGAATTATTTTCTTTTTCTGTATCTTCTAGTGATATTTCAAAATACAATAATTTATTGGAGAATGCAACATTCATTTACGATGATTGTGAACAAAATGGACAAGTTTTTATTACAAAATATTGTAAACATTTTAATTTAAATAATTTAACACAACATATTCGATCTCTTAAATCAAATAATATATTAAAACGTTTAAATTCATGTGATTGTTGTTCAACAATTTTAAATGGTCATTATTTAAACATTATTCTTCGATCATTTTTAATATCGAATGCCACCTATGATCTTGTTTCATTATGTTTTAATGATTCTAATACATACGGTTATATTTCTACACGTAATCAATTTAATATTCGTCAATATTTAATTAATAATTCAAAAATGTCCTATTTAAATGATATTGATTTTACTGAAATAAAGATACAATATGCATTACGTATCAATTCATGGCCAGAAATATTTATTGAAACATTTTTAAATCGAACAAGACATTGGCCAAAATATGATGATTTATTAACAATATTTGAAAATTCATGTTATATAATAGTGACCAAAGGTAAAGAAGAGAAAGAATGTAAATTAAATTATTTAGAAAAATGTTCAATGTGTGAAAAAACATTATTAACAAATGAAAATTTAACATATTGGTCATATTCTTATTCTAAATTAGAATCAAAATTAATAAAATTATTAACAATTGATCATAAACGTTTTTCATCTCTTCTATGGATGTATCTATGTTCAAAATTATCGAAAAAAATTCCATGGTCTCTATTTAAACATAGTCTATTCTATTTTTTCGAACGTTATGAATGTGATACATTTAAACAATGTGATATTTTATTATATTTTCATTTTTATATTGAACATTTATTTAATTATTTTAACAAACATACATTACCAAATTATTTTGATTCAAAACATGATATTTTTACACAAATTACAGAAGAAGATTATCAACAATATAAAGATTCATTATCAACATTATTATCTTTACCAATAACATATGCAAATTTTAGAAAAAATTTTATACTTTCAATTCTACCCGTCTCATGTCATTTTTTAATTCATTTACGATATTTAATACATTTTCAATGTAATTTTATTAAACGTTTATTATCATCTGATTCAAAAACGTCAACTTCAACGTTTCGTCTTCTTTTAGAAATACATGAACAAGTATTAAAAGAATTAACATTTAAATCAAAAATAAAAATATCACCTATAACAAATTATATTAAACCATTAACGTTAGATGCGTTATATCAATTTCAAGAACAAAATGCACAAATTGTTCTCGATTATTTACCATTTCTTCGAGATAAAGAACAATCATTATTAATACATAATCTATGGTCAGTCTATATACAATATTTTAATAGTATGTTTGATGACCTTCTTCTTGTACCACAATAATAAAAAAATTTCATTAAAACTACTTTGTTTTGTTTTATTATCAATTTATATTTGATCTAAAACGAAAGAATCTAATTTAGAGAAAATCCGTTTATAGACGATAAGAGGAGGGCTACTTTACCATCATTATTAAACAATAGTCTCAATATTTCAGAATCATGTATTTTACTAACTATAATACAACTCAATTTTACAATATTATCATACTTGAAAACTTCTGAGCGATAATACGTTTATGATAGAAAAATACTAAAAAGTATATTCATTTGTATCGTCTGAATTGTCATCATTAAAAGATTAATTTTTGGTATTACTTCTTCGGACATATGTCTCTGTCTTTTGTGTAATAGAGTTTCGATGTTATGTACAAAATGCAGTTTATTGTCGAACTTTGGCATTTTTTGAAAATGTAACATACTCAACGTTATAGTTTTGTCCTATTCACGTTTTACATCAGAGGTGAAATCGTTTCAATTTGGTTTGGGTTCGTTATATTCATAGAAATCGAACTATATTCGAAACATCGATTAGACATATCAATGTCACATTTAATTTGTTAGAAACGAAAACATGTACAACCTGTAAAAACCTAAACCAGTAGGGCTCTGTTCAAACATTCATATTAGAAGTTCTTTGTGATTTGAAATAAAACGAGTGGATATCTTTTGTTGTTAGAAGTGGGCGCATACAATTATTTACTAGACTCGAGTACAGATTTTTGAGTGCCAGTACTCGTGATTTATCTCAAAAGTACTGATAAAGTATTTGAATACTTTCAAAATATTGACAAAATGTCTTACAAAAAAATTTTTCATAATTTCTAAAAATTTGCTGATAAAAAAATAGGAAAAAATAGGAAGATTTGAAAAACTATTCAAATTTTGAACAGTGTGAATGAGGAGTTTTGAAGAAAGATAAAATAATTTCTTTTTCCTGGAATGTCTCTAATCCTTGCTCGAAAATTGATGAAGATCTCAAGATAACAAAACAAGATAGTAAATGTGACTGGCATACGGGCTTTCATCAGAGGCCCACAAGAGAAATTTTCAAAAACCTCCGCAACTCCCGGTGAAAATCTCGCACAATGCAGAATCTCTCTTCAACGCTTTTACGGAATTTTTCATGAATGCCTTGTCTATTGGTGCCCAGACAGCACTTGAGTAAAATCTTACGCGAAAAATCATGTTTGTTGTCTATACCATTTGTATTTCCACTGACACAGATTTATATTGTGTTTGTATTATGATTATTGAGTGTCCCGGATTAAATAACATTCTTAGTATTTTCTCTACAACTATCTTTTGTTATGTTCCCAACTCTTAACGAAAACATATTTCTGTAGACCTCAAAAATAAAAACTTTAAAAGAAATACTATGAAGCTATAATCTCCATTATTTTGTAACCCAAAGCATAACGAAAGAAAAGCTTATTTTGAACATAATGGCTTTCATGAAAGTGAAATTTTTGAAGAGCTGCAAAATGGCTGTTTTCTTTGTTTTATGGGGCAAAATATGAAGGACTAAAATTGAACAAACTGTGCTGTGTGTAACAAAGTAATGGAGATTGACACTCCATAGTATTTCTTCTATAGGTTTTATTTTTGAGGTCTACAGAAAGACGTTGCTTGTGTTTTTGTAGAGCACCAGCTCAGTACGCACCTAATGAAAACTAACTAAGGGTTGGGAACATAACAAAAAATAGTTGCAGAGGAAATACGAAGAGTGTTATGTAATACGAAACATCCGATAGATTATTGGTGATCAAAAATAAATCTCTACTTCAGTATGAAAAGATGTTATCAGATGGAAAGCAGATTCCTATGCATTTGTATCTAACATTTTTTCACCCCTTTCTCCTTTGAAAAAGATTTTCATTTTCCATTTAGTTGATTGTGAAAAAAGCAAGAATTAACCCACTTGTTTCATACTGCAATAGAAGAAGCATGGCTTCTTTGTTCATGCTGAATCAACAATATTTTCTTTATACCATAATAATGTCTTTTACATCTGATACTGCTATGTTCTCTGTTATTTATTTGAATTTATTCGATCGATCAGAGATCATGAGCATACACAAGTAGCAAAAAGCTAGTACAAGACACTAAACAGGACCTTGCTGTATGACCATTCACACACACACATAATCTGTTGGAGCTAGAGAAGAAAAAGAATTAAAGTTAACATAAAATATTAACATAATCGAAGGACAACGTACTGGTTGCAATTTTTGATGTCTCTGCTATTCTTCGTCCATTATTTTTTCAATTCCCACGCTAAAGCGTTTGCTAAAGGTGCAATAACGCTTGAAGTAATCCTTGAACATATCACCGAATCGAAAAATTTTAAAAGCTTGTTCGGTCAAAACCGATTAGAGATTCGTCTTTTCCACGGCTGATTATGTGGTACGCAATAACTTTAAGATCGGAGTACTTTAGAAAAAAAATTTCCTATGGTCTTGCTCAAAAATTTTTCAAAAAGTTACCGTATGGGATCCAAGGCAAAACGATGTCGAAAAATTTTTCCAAAGTACCCTAATCTAGCAGTTATCGCATACCACATAATCAACCATGGAGAAGACGAATCTGCAATCGGTCTTGACCGAACAAGCTTTTAAAATTTTTCGATCCGGTGATATATTAAGTGATGACTTTTGAGAAGGCTTAAATATCAAGGTGGCACCTTTTGTTGGTCGAAAAGTTGAACCAACACATTTTGTTCGACGTGTTTTTATGACCTACTTGCAATGGCGTTGATTTTGCTAATTGTTAATGATAATATGTCCGTACTACCGCGTTTACCCGTAGGAAGCATAAGAAGATTCATACCTTAGACAATATTTTGTAAAAAAAAAAGAAACAATGTATTGTGAATACATTAACTTTTAAACACACAAACACCCAAATACAACAATAGTTAAATCATAAAATTAAGGAAACAGAAGTCTACATAAAAAAAGAAATTATTATGACACTGTAGTGCATATATACATAGAACTCCGTCTTTATTCCCCAATTTTGTCGCTAATATCCCTTTTACTTTTTCATTTCCTTGTTTGCTGCTGAATTATGATTCGAGCTGCATTCGGAAAAGCGAGCAAAAAAAAGTAACAAAATTTTGTTGACCGTAACTGTCGAAGTTCGTAAAAATTCACTAAAAAGGGCGCTTTCTAGTCTCACCCTCACAGAGCACTAGTCGGAATCTAGCAGCATCACTACACTATATCTTCATTTTTTCTGATTTCTCCCAAATACTACAAAATCTTTGTTATAATGCGCATCACTTTCAACAGTTGTTCTCTTCGTTTTGCACAAATAGTCCAATTTTGCTAATATTTCAATGAAAGTTCGTAAAGTCATCATATCTGTACAATGTAAAAATGTGGAAATTGTAAAAATAAAAAAGCCAGAAAATATGACAAATGGATTAGAAAAGCTGAATAAATCATTTGCATGTCAAACGGTTTCAAGTTAGAGACTTTGAATCGAATTAAGAATAGTCTGGTTCGTAGGGATTTTTATCAAGTTTTTCAACCTTATTATATCGTTTGCGCAAATATTTTTCGAATTTATCAAGTTTATTATACCGTGTACTCATGTGTGTTTTGACGTTGCCCGAATTCAGTACTATGGGGACTGCCGTTCCTGTATCCTCATGGAAAAATATTAAAGCATCATGAGGATCGTTTGGATCTTTATTTTGAACATAATAAACGTGATGTGCTCGGTCTATGTGATCTATAGTTTTTTTGGTAGTCAAATTTATCTAAGTGGCCCTCTCGTTTTTTTATATCGTCACCATGCTTTGTAATATGTTTGTGTAGATTCTCAGGAGTCCACTGAAAATTAGAGGGCATATCGTGGGTAGTTCCATCCTTAAGTCTGATTTGTTTCACTTTCTCTGGAACGTTGATACTGCTTTGGCTCCGAGGTAAGTTTGATATTGCAATATCAAAATATTGCAGTTTTCTCGTTGAGCAGCTTCATTCATGATCCTTTCATTGATTGTTTCATTTTTTGGATCAATAGATTTTTAAATTTTCTCCGACAAATCTTGAATTATATTTCGGGTAAATACGTCGGTTAGCGGACTGATCACCCCATGTTGTAATAGTTTAAGCATATAGTTTGTTAGTAAATGTAGGAGATTATCCTGGAAATCTAATTTTTTCTGATGATCACAAACACTCAGCTTTAGTAAAAAGCGTATTATCATGCTTTTATGGTTTTCTTGACCGTCAAAATCTATTGAATTGATTTTCCTATATCTATTAATATTTTTCACGTCAACGGTTTTCTTGAAATTTTCGATCAAATATCGGCGATATTATCATTTTTATTTATATATTTACCCATTCAGTTAACGTGTGTTTTGGACGATTCGAATTGTGATTATTATTGTTTTCATTGTGTTGTTGTATATCATCGATATATATATTCATTGAATAATATGTAACAAGATCTCTGCAAGCATTTATTTTAAACTTTTATGAATTTTTTCCGATATTAAAATAGGTTTTAGGATTTTTAGAAGGAATCGTATCCTTCGGAAAGATTATATCCTCATCATTAACCTAGAGAGACAATTTTCAGTGAAATTTTTTTTTCGAAAACTAAATGTTAAGTATGCTATTCAACGCAGTTTTGTCTATTGATCTCAAATATGTTATTAGTCTTGCTTGAAAATAGAAGGGAAGTGAAAAGGATGCAAAATAAGTGAAATGGCAAAGGTCAACGGTGAGTGCGTAATCTTTTTGACAAAAGTTTCACCTACGTTTTTTAGAACCATTGGTTTCTATGATTATTTTTTCATAATTATGATATGTATTGAATGCAGATTCTATAGTAGAAAGAGTGATCTTTAGTTCGTCACCCTCACCCGTCTACGTATGTTTCAATTGTGCGTGCTCGTTCCCAGTGAATACAAACGCATAATAGTTAACCTTCATACTTTGACTGGATAGTCTACAGTCATCGAAGAGTATTTGGTGTGAGTTTGAAGTCGAATAGTCGATGTTCCTAGAATGAGTTATGAATTTTTCTTGGAAAGGACCTCATATCTGAGAACCCCATTTCTAGAGATCTCGATCGTAAAACAGTTGTATTTCAGTGACCATTAACAGCTACCACTCTAAATTCATATCGTAAATAGAGGAGAATCAGGACTACATTTTTGTAAAAAGAAAGTTTTCATCTCTCTTGGATCAGGAGTTATTAGCATTTTGCGGACAACAAGTAAAACGCTTATATCTTACGAACCATCTAGTAAAAGAGACCCAAACTTGGTGGGTGATCAGCATTCGGTAAGAGCTATGATCACACAAAATTAGAAGTCTCTAGGTATGATGGTTCTTGAGTTACAGGAGGCCCGCTACTACTGTGGAGTACTGTAGAATCATAATAGCATTTTTTGTTGTTGTTGTTGTGACAAGTATACATAACTCTAAATCCTGAAAATCTTTAATTTAAATACAAAAAGAAATAAGTTCAAACGTTTATATTACACTGATATTCATCTTTCACGCAAAAAAAAATAAAGACATAACAAAGAAAAAAAATGTTTTTCACCAAAAAAAATACAGATGAGTATATGATATTAAAATTCAGATTACAATTCACAAGAACGTGAATAGAAAAAAACATGAAAAATTAAAATAGTTGTTTTATCGAACAACAATTTAGAGAAGAACAACTATTACAGAACGTATAGTTTGCAACAAAAATACAAACGAACAAACAAGAGTAACCGGACGAATTAAGTAGGCTAACTGTACGAGATTTATTTATTTATTATTAATGGAAACAAAAAAATAATAAACTATGATATTGCCGTTCGATGTTTTAATATTGAAAAAATGAATTCTATATTGCACTCTAAAATATTAACAAATTGATAATAACAAAAAAGAGAATTAACGGATCATATTTATAAAATAAAGACCATGCACAAGACAAAAAATAATTTAGAATTTTATAAATAAGTGAGATTTTTTATTTTTATTTAGATTTCATAGAATCCTTAAGGTATTTTTCTCTTTTTTCATCTAAATTTTCCTCCTCCTCTTCCTCCTCTTCATCTCCTTCGATACCACTACTATTTTCAAATGATGATCGTGTATCACTATTTTCTTGTTCTGTTTCATGCGTTTTTTGTCCATTAAGATTCAACTGTTCCAAACAATATTGTAAACCAGAAAAAAATAATATTACCATTGCAGCTAGAATAGAAATTAATAGTATATCGTTATTAAAAAATTATTTTCATTTTACCTAATGCTTGAATTTTTTCATCGATATTAGTCACTTTAGATTCAATTTTTCTTTTTTCATTTTCATCTGTTACATTTGCACTATCACGTATCATTTCATCACGAGTTTGACATTGTAAATCAATTTCATGCTGCATTCTTGATATCTAAAATGAAAAATAAATAAATAAAATTTATCGATCAATTACAAAAGTAAACTGCCTAATCATTTCTCTAAAACAATAACAACAACTTTTAAGTTGTTAGAGATCAACAGTTTGTTTTCTATCTTATTAAATTAAATTCATATATTTTCACTCTAAAGATGAAGCATATTGTCATACCTCGGACTCAAATTTTTGTTTTCGTTGATTAAGATTTAATTCTGGAAATAATTCGGGACCAAATTCTTTTGCTTTTGCATACAATGTTGTATGATCAACAGATCGTTCATGTAAAAGATGCTCAAGATTTTTGAAATCTGAACTATTATCTGACAAACATTTCTAAATAAGGAAAAAGAAAAAAATCAAACTAAATTACATCATCAACAATATTTTCTTTTTACCATAATAATGTCTTTTACATCTGATACTGCTATGTCCTCTGTTGGAGCTAGCAAAGAAAAACAAAATTAAAATTAATATAAAATATTAACATAATCGAAGGACAACATACTGGTTGCAATTTTTGATGTCTCTGTTATTCTTTGTCCATTATTTTTTCGCAATAATGATGCTGATAATGGTGCACGTTTTTGTTTTAAATCACGAAATTTTGTATAAGCTGAATTTGAAAAACTTGCTAATTTTGATTGACTTTGTTGTGGAGCCATTGTCGATAAACTCTCAGATGAATCATTACGACTATCAATCAATTTTTTCTCGTTTTGTAAACGATTTTGTGATAATGATGGAGATTGTATGTTACTAATGTTTTCATTACTTTTTGATACATTCGATGGTTTATTAATTGGGTTTAAGTGTGTTTGATTATCGTTTGTTCTTGAAAATTTATGTGTCAACTTATTATAAACTCGTGATTCAACAGCTGAAAAATATGCCGCAGCTGTGGACATTTTGCTCGTTGAATGTACCTCATTTGACGTTAATAATCGTGTTGGTATGAGTTCAGAGACATTTTTATTTGTTAGTGAAGAGTCAATAATATCATCATTTTCTGTTGGTTTTATTGTTGTATTATTCACCTCTTGCTCATTTGATGAAGTCATATTTTTCAAATCATCGTCAGATGGTGTTTTTGTTTGTATTTTTGGAGTCCTAAAGAAATGAAATAACAGTCTTATGTGATTTTCTTATAACAAAAAAGAGAAATAATTTTTACATTCGTATAAATGGACATTTTATTTGAGTTATACAACTTGCTTCACATTTTTTATGAATATTCATTGAGCAAGTGGCACACTTGCGGCCTGCTTTCATCCATATCTGTAAAAACAAAACAACCCTCAGTCTCTCCTACAATCATTATACATGAAATATTCTTTGTTTTTACTACCTTTTTGCTACAAAAATCACAAACAGTTGATATAGAAAATGTATGATCTTCGAATGTGTGTTCATTTGCACTAAAATAAAAAAGAAATAAGATGAATTGAGACGAGTTGAAAAATTTTATTTCTAGAAATATGAACTTCTACCTTTTTGGTGTTTCACTGTTTGTTTTAATACTATCGATTGGATTTGCTTGTACATTTTTTTCTTTTTCTTTTAATTTTGCACATAGATCATTTAAGACAAGTTCCGTGGTTGTATACTGTTCTCGCTTTTGAGTAATATCTAAATTTTGTTCAATTTGTGGACGATGTATAATATTTATTGTTATAAAACCATGTGCTAAATTGTCGTCATAACCTTTATGTTGAACGAATTCTGCAAATTTTTTGCTAGAAATAATGAACATCCATGCGAGACCGAACAGTGTAAGGAAAGCAGTTTGTCAGTGCTCAACCGTATCAACTCACGTTCCTAGCTAGTGATTTTTCATGCAGCAAAATATTTATATTAGTCTCTTGATAATCAAAAAAAAGCCCCGTACATTTTGTGCTTTTGTCTACAGGTATATCAACAATAATAACATAACGAACGATATAATATATAACATAATGAGACCTTCACCATTAACCGATTTTAGTCATTGATGAGTGAATTACGATTGAAATTAGTTTAAAAAAAAATGTCGATTATAAAAAGTAACGATTATTTATCTCACCCATTTGATTCAACCTCTAATAGCCTCACTATCACATATTGTCTATACAAGACACAAAAAAATTGTAAAAGATATCTCAAAATATGAAACTATTATTTAAGAAATAATCTAAACTTACATATTTAATAATTTTGGATAAGGTGGAAAAAAATTGAGTGTTAACTGTGTTTCACGTTTAAAACTCATGTGTGCGTCGAGAACAATTTGACTCAATGGTATACTTGTCTATTAAAGAATGAAAAAAATAATATTTAATAGAAATAAAACATAAATTTAAAATTAATCAATGTTATATGCTTACATAACCAATTAGAATAAGTTTTTTTTGTGTTTTAACATCATCATTTGGCGGTTTACACCACAAACACACATTTAAATATCGTTCACTTTCACCAACTTTCAATTCAAATTTTTCGTTAAATTCAATAGACTAAAGAAAAATAAAATATATTTACAATAATAATAGCTCCATTAAACAAACTAATCATATACCATTTGTGCTTTTTTATATGCTGTTTGTTTAACTTGAAATTGTTGCAATAGATCTGTATTTACTATACTAAATGTAATATCGCTATTTTTCTAAAATAAAATGAAGAATATAGAAGATTATGCGATTAAACATTCTTTTTCTACCTGAGGTTGTTTTTGATTAATTTTTACGGTTGATACATCGCTTTTTCCTTCGTCCACTGTTTGTTTTCCATCATCTTTTGTGGTCATCATCGCAATACTTTCAGCTGTTTTTTGAAATTTTACGGCTATAGAAAATAGGATAGTAAATATTTGTCATTGTTTGACTTCAAGAATTCGTACGAACCAGTTGAAGGAGTACCACGATGACGCAGAGTCGCATGAGATGATTCATTTAATTCATCTTTTACAGAATTTATCTCAGTATTCTAAAATAATATAAAATAAAACAAAAAGAATTATAAAACTTAATTATACTCGTTTAACAAAATTTTACCGAAATATTGAGTTCATTATCGATTGAATTATCTGTTGGAGTTGTAGAACTCTTTGATAGACGTGTGATATTTAGATGTGGTAGAGCAATTAATATTTTAATTTTATCGCCAGTGTTCTCATTTGTCGTTATTATTGTTTGAGAATCAACTGGTTGACTTGATTTTACTCTTAATAGACGATATGCTTGTTTAATAGTTTTAAATTCTTGTCCTTGTATTTTAAGTATAATAGCATTTTGTTGTTCAATAGCTAACATTAAATCATCATCATCTTTTATTTCATTTGGTTTTGGTTCAATTTCATCAAGTATAACTTCTGTATTATTCATAAATTGTATTTCTTTTAAAACTATTTTACGTACACGAACAAATTCAATTTCTTTTGTCGGCCATAATTCACGTTTTTCAAATAAAATATCTTGCCATGATTTTTCATTTAATATCAATGTGACGAATACTGGTCTATTCTCTAACATATTTGGAATGATCAAACGATCACAATTTTTAATTAATACATCATAGACACCTATAAAAAAGAATAATTAATGAACAAAAAAAAAAAAAGAATCACATTTGACTTATTAACCTGGTATTAAATTTTTTCCATCGGATGTTTTAACATCGAAATAGTCTGTCTGTTTAGACATTGAAAAAAATGGTTGATAACGTATCTTGTAATTGGGCCAAGTTTGTTTTCGTCGAATGGCACGTCTTAACTAAAATTAAACAAGTAAAATCATTCAAATAACTAATCTAATTTATTAATAGATTGAATAACACTTGCCTGTGTAGTTATGATCTGAGCCAGCTGAGGACTTTCTCGTGTTTCAAAATATGATTTTACTTCAAAGTCAATTTGCGGTTCCTGTAAGAAAGAATAAAATTTATTTTCTTTTGATTATTAATAATAATAATAAAAAAACTGATATTGTACCTGCTTGAAAACTAAAGTCCAATGTGTATATCTAAAAATAGACTAAATAAATGATGTTTATATATCATGATGAATATTTTTCATCTTACGGTTCACGTTTGAAATTTAATCTTAGTTGTCCTTCGATACGCTTGATTTTAATAATTAACAAACATTTTCTTCCAAAGACAAGTGTCACATTGACAGTCACGCAAAAACCTTCTTTGTAAACAGTATCGAATATCGCAACAAATTCCTAGAGATAATAATTGATATATTTCATACTACATAATAGGGGTGCTACTTTACTTTTACTAATTATTACATTATCCGGTAAAAGTAATAAACGTTTGTTACTTATTACTGTTAAAAAGGTAATAAATTTTGTTGTTTTATTACTTATTACTTTTCTTCTTATTAGTAATAAGTAAAGTAATAAAAGATTATTACTTGAAAAAAGTAATAAGTAATAAAGTAATAAGATTTATTACTTGTTTCCTGGTAATAACTAATACGTTTTATTACTTATCACTTGGCGCAAAAGAACAGTAAAGTGGCACCTTTACTGCATAAGTCTAATTTAGGGCCATTTTAAAACTAATCTAGACATAGTTCAAATTAGAGTTATGTTCAAGCTAATTTTAGAATCAGACTAGTCAACTCTATCATTGGCCAGTAAAACATAAAATTTTGATAAAAATCAGGAAAATAAACGTTTCACATAATTCTTCAGAAACACTCGAATATTTTCTAGACTCTGCGAAAAACCAAGGCAAAAAAAGACAGTGCTTTTTCTCACAAAAAAATCCCATAACTATCTCACATGAAAAATAATGAAGTTTGTTGAAGAAAAGTACGAATAAGGGCTATTTCTCGTGAGATCTTCTGAAAAGCTATCAAAAATTTGATTGTGGAAGCCCCAAAATATTTTTGTAATCAATTCAAATCTGTGAAACTTTTATATTCTTTTGCACCAGTCAAGCTCACTTTCACGCGTTAATTATCTCGTTTTGTTGCTACCGCGAGTTTAACATTGCTAATCAACTCGTCCATACACTCCAAGTTGTCTTTCGATTAATTTGAAGTGAAATACTTCTGATTTTTATCGAAATTCTATGTTTTAATGCGCAATGATGCAGTTGACCAGTCTGATTCTGAAATCAGTTTTAACATACCTTCAATTTGAACTATATCTAGATCAGTCAGTTTTATACTGATTTGAATTTGAATTATATCTGCGAGAAATACTGATACAACGTACAAACCTTAATTAAACCACGATCATCACGTTCAGAATGTTCTAATTTTATATCACTGAAATATGGAAAACCAGCACCAAGACCTTAATAGAAAAATATTGAACATGAAAAATCACAAACATACACACTTGTTGCTTACTAAAATCTTGAATTTGAATATTTTGAAGAAATAATTTTCCTGCACGACTATTTTTTAATTCTTTAAATTCTGTATTAAGTTTATGTAAAATATATCTGTAAAATTAGAGCGATTAGAATGTATAACAGTAAATATGTAGCAAAAATAACTAACCTTCGTAAACGTGACGTATCTTTAAGTTCTTGATATAAAAATTGGGCAAAATAGTTTACACTATCAACAGCAGAATTTTTGGCACGCTCGTCCTAAAATGCAATAATGAAAATGCTATATTTCACAAAAAAATTTTAATATTTACCTCAGCAATTGGAACACAGGTGGGATATTGTTCATGAGAAAGACTTGTATACGTTTCTACATCTGTATTACATAGATAACGTGAATATATATATAATAAAACAATTATCGTCGAAGCTACGCCGAGCAAATAACTTAACACAATAACTAATAGAAACATGAAACTACTTTAAAACATTATTGACTAGTGACATGTAAAAAATCAAAAAATTATTAAGTATTTCGAATTTAGAAGCAAATAATTATATTTGTAACACCTTTTGCATAATTATTTCAACGATCTTGAAAAGAAAAAAACAAAAAATTGCCAGCTGAAAACCATCAGTATCAAAGTGGAAAGATAAACTAACGACTACAATGTTTATCATTCATAATATAGAAAAAAAAGACCAAATATTTTTTCATCAACCAGTTGAATATAGATAAAATTTTTCGAATTATAATATATTTTCAATAAAGCTACAGAAAGTAGGAATTTTTAAAAAGAAATGATTAGAAAATCGTTATTTTAGCTGCAGAAATAGTCTTAGCAAAGTATTCTAAAAATAGATGATTGGAAAATAAATCATAATAAGAACTTTTTGACGGCATCAAGATTTCCTGTATTAATTTTTTACCTGTTTAAAATTAGATATAATAAAATTGAACATATCATTGGCTCGTTTTTCATAGAAAAAATTCGAGTAGCAATATATCTTTTTCATTTCTACAAATCCTTGACACAATCATGTTTGTAATAAAAATTTTCTTTGTATTAAAAATTCTGTACACAAAATACATATGAAATCGAGAATTACAATAGTAAATAGAGAAATCAACTTTCAAAACAAAATAAAACAGCACTTCTCTTGGGAAAACAAAAAAATAAAAAATTCTTTAGGAGTACAACATGTACTTACTTTAAAACTACTGTTGAAATCGTTGGATCAAAAACTGTTGGAAAAAATTTGAGATTTTCCTCGTTTTCCTTTCAATTCTTGTGATTCTTTTGAGCCGCAATCAGAAACCTCGACTTTGTCCTTATGCAAGATTCCTGTACTATTTTGTGTTAAGAATAAAAATAGAATGTAGTTTATTATCTCAAAAATATGCAATAGTTGAAATTTTTCGTTCTCTCATATAAACCGTAGATCCATTTTACTAGTTGCAAATTATACGCTTAGTAATTAACTAAAGCCATCTGGCCCTGTAAAGAATTTCTAACGGAGTAACGAACGTTTCCTAGCACTCATCGAACAAGCAAACATTTCTCTCACAGAAAATTCAACACTTTCCTATAAGCCCATTTATTTATTTTATGATCAGTGTATGAACTATTCTGATTGAGTTTTTTTTTCTGATTAATAGTAAAAAAACATATATGAAAACGTAGATCACCCCCGATAAGTACAGATTAAGAAGTAATGTGTAATTGTTTCTCAATTCTCTAGTTTTAAATTTTAAAGTCAGCGACGGATTAAATTTAGCTCTTGGGTAAGGTTATTAGCCAGACTTTTGTCAGAGACATTGATTACTAGTCAACAACCTTAACGGGAGTTTTACTCACGGTTGAGACATTTTTCTTTTATGTCATAATTATGTCAATTTCATTATTTATCTCTAAAAGATTGTTCTAAGTTAAAAAGAGAGAAAACAAAAAGAGGAACAACGACGACGATGAAAACAAAAAAACAACTAAACGGATCGACGACGTACAAAACACCGTGTACAAGTATAATACACATTTTACATACAAAAAAGTAAGAGAGAGAGAGAGAAAGAGAAAGAGAGAGAGGAAGAGAGTAAGAGCGCTGTGTATACCTGTATGCGTATGCACAAAAGTTCTATAATCAAAGCACAATGCATAATAAATCAATTTCATTTTGTAAAACAACAACAACAGCAACAGCAAAACACACACAGCGCTACAGTCACGCATGAATAAAAAAAAGATCTCCTACTTCTTTTGCTTGCTTATCACTACAAGAGCATGATATCAGATATGTATGAAATAAAAGATCCTATCGTTGCTATAAACAAAGAACGAGCGAGGTTATTTTTCAAGTATTAGGCGCCTGTAGTGAGAAATGTAATGAGATGTTGATTTCTGGCTATTTTCGAGACTTAAATTGATAAAGAGAGTCTCTTGTGTTCATCTACTAGGATTCTTGTAAAAACGAGAAACAAAAATGAAATCACTGCGTAAAACGCACGCCGCACAAAAGAGAAGTAGTAGGGCAATCATAAGAGTAAAAAGAAAGAAACAAATAAGCGATAGACTATACAATAAATTAAAACAAACGAACAAAAAA